TACAAAAGATCATGATTGTATATGACATGATAGTTTCTCTTAAAAACATTCACAAATCAAATTATATTCATGGGGATTTACATTCAGACAATATTTTTCTAAGTATGAGAAGTAATGAATGGCTTATTGGTGATCTTGAACATTGTGGCCCAGCTAACAAAGCTTCCACAACTATCTATGGACGTATGTCTTACGTGACTCCGGAACTTTTTGTGGGAGGATCAAAAACGAAAAAGTCAGACATTTATGGCTTTGGAATATTAATGTGGGAAATTTATTACGAAGAGTCTCCTTTTAAAAATTATTCTAATCTTGATGAACTTGCTCATTTTGTTTTCTTTGAAGGTCGACCTGAAATTGATGAAAGCATGCCAATTTGGTATTCTGAATTATTAAAAAAATGTTGGGGCACAAATCCAGCTAAACGACCGGACGCAGAAGAAATTTTTAACGAAATTGAAAATCAACTGCAAATTTTATATCAATCTGGAGAAACTGAATCTGATTTTTTTAAATTTGATCGAAAAAAGAAATACACTAAATCAACTACCATTAACACAATAGGATGTCAAAAAGCAGCAAATGATATTTGCAACAAGTCAACCTACATTAATACTACAAATGTTTTAAAGCATTTATTTACCAGCGACAGTATGTAAAAATACAAATATATATATATTAATAAATGTCGCAGCTGAAGCTTGAAATTAGGGATCTTGATTTAAAAATATAAACTCTACCAAAATCCACTTATACTCTTTCATTATCAAAACTAACCATAAAACCTAATTTAACTATTAAAAAAAGCTAAAAAAATGCACTCACAAAAATGTCTAAAAATTTCAGCTTCAGCTGCGACAATAAATTTTGCTAATATACAATTCGATTCATATACATATTTTATTTTAGGTCCTCATAACGAAAATAACAAGAGAATAAAATTTTGGTATGAAGCACACAATCACTGTACAATGTAATAAGTTTGAAATGCAAGTAGAAGTTAATGAAATATTCTATAAAGAATTTTAGTATCAAAACGGTTCTTTAATGAATGAAATCTTATCGTCAAAAATGACGTAATTACTTACTGTCCGATGTAAACAAACATCATATGATCTAATTTTTTTTTACCTTTTCAAAGTCAATTAAATTATTTTTAAAAAGAGTTAAATGATGCTTCTGTTTATCACTTCTAATTCCTTAAAATTAAATTTATAATACAGTCAATTCTTTCTATAACGAACTAACGGTTCTGGAAGAAAAAAAGGTTCGTTGTAGAAAATTACTATGTTTTCTTAAGAATCAATTGCACTTTCTATACCGAACTACTATGGAATTTTAAAATTTTGGATTCGTTATATCCAGAATTCGTTATATGGAGGTTCGTTATAGTCAGATTCGACTGTAGTAGTATCCTATGCAGTTGGTATAAGCGGAAAGGTAATTGACGTTATACTCTGGTCACTATATCAATATCGCAGGGTATAAATCAGTTACACATTGGATTCGATGTTTATAAGCGGAATTTCATTCCACTTATGCCCATGCCACCCGGTGTATAGCTATTACAACTTCTCTTAAAAAAAGACATGAGGATTTTCTCATCCTACTGTATTCTGCAAATCCGGCAGTGTTGCAAATAGTTGTATAGCTAATGGCATGAAAGACGCTAAGTATTCTAATAAAAAAGAAAAAACGTATAATATACGTATACTGTATACAGTCGTCCCTCATTTATATCAACCTATTTGGATCGCTTTTATATTCATGTTGATAGTGATATTAATGAGGGAACATATTAAAGTTGATATATATGAGGGAATTTTAATATAATTTGATATATAGAAATTCATTTTATAGCTTAGGTTGATATTAACGGGGTTGATATTAATGAGGGACGACTGTATATATATATTTGAGTCGTTATACTAGTGGTTATACTAGTTTGAATACTATTTATATAGGAATATGAATTTTTTATCAATCGTGAAACCTGTTCACGTGATATGCGGTATGATCATAACAACTACCCCAAGTCTACGGACACGTAGCATAGCGGGCTTTCATTGTAATTGGCTGATTTTTGTAGATCATCCGTGATATTGCAAAAATATCATTGGCTAATCGAAATTATTTGCAAGACAAATTTTATATGAAATTATATCTGATATAATTAATAATTAAATATTTATTAATATTATATAAAATCAATTTGGCATTAATAAACGCATTACTACGCAATCTATCAACTCAAAGTCTAAAACCATCATCCCGAAACAAAAAAACCTAAGATCTTATTTTTTTTAAAAAACTATATATTACACACACAAAAAAAAAAAAAAAAAAAAAATTATAAAAAATAAGAATTATTTTGTTTTAAGAGACTATAAAAAATCACGTAAATAAATTTTTAATTGTATATAATAACAGTTTATTAATGCCAAATTGATTTTATATAATATTAATAAATATTTAATTATTAATTATATCAGATATAATTTCATATAAAATTTGTCTTGCAAATAATTTCGATTAGCCAATGATATTTTTGCAATATCACGGATGATCTACAAAAATCAGCCAATTACAATGAAAGCCCGCTATGCTACGTGTCCGTAGACTTGGGGTAGTTGTTATGATCATACCGCATATCACGTGAACAGGTTTCACGATTGATAAAAAATTCATATTCCTATATAAATAGTATTCAAACTAGTATAACCACTAGTATAACGACTCAAATATATATATACAGTCGTCCCTCATTAATATCAACCCCGTTAATATCAACCTAAGCTATAAAATGAATTTCTATATATCAAATTATATTAAAATTCCCTCATATATATCAACTTTAATATGTTCCCTCATTAATATCACTATCAACATGAATATAAAAGCGATCCAAATAGGTTGATATAAATGAGGGACGACTGTATACAGTATACGTATATTATACGTTTTTTCTTTTTTATTAGAATACTTAGCGTCTTTCATGCCATTAGCTATACAACTATTTGCAACACTGCCGGATTTGCAGAATACAGTAGGATGAGAAAATCCTCATGTCTTTTTTTAAGAGAAGTTGTAATAGCTATACACCGGGTGGCATGGGCATAAGTGGAATGAAATTCCGCTTATAAACATCGAATCCAATGTGTAACTGATTTATACCCTGCGATATTGATATAGTGACCAGAGTATAACGTCAATTACCTTTCCGCTTATACCAACTGCATAGGATACTACTACAGTCGAATCTGACTATAACGAACCTCCATATAACGAATTCTGGATATAACGAATCCAAAATTTTAAAATTCCATAGTAGTTCGGTATAGAAAGTGCAATTGATTCTTAAGAAAACATAGTAATTTTCTACAACGAACCTTTTTTTCTTCCAGAACCGTTAGTTCGTTATAGAAAGAATTGACTGTATTATAAATTTAATTTTAAGGAATTAGAAGTGATAAACAGAAGCATCATTTAACTCTTTTTAAAAATAATTTAATTGACTTTGAAAAGGTAAAAAAAAATTAGATCATATGATGTTTGTTTACATCGGACAGTAAGTAATTACGTCATTTTTGACGATAAGATTTCATTCATTAAAGAACCGTTTTGATACTAAAATTCTTTATAGAATATTTCATTAACTTCTACTTGCATTTCAAACTTATTACATTGTACAGTGATTGTGTGCTTCATACCAAAATTTTATTCTCTTGTTATTTTCGTTATGAGGACCTAAAATAAAATATGTATATGAATCGAATTGTATATTAGCAAAATTTATTGTCGCAGCTGAAGCTGAAATTTTTAGACATTTTTGTGAGTGCATTTTTTTAGCTTTTTTTAATAGTTAAATTAGGTTTTATGGTTAGTTTTGATAATGAAAGAGTATAAGTGGATTTTGGTAGAGTTTATATTTTTAAATCAAGATCCCTAATTTCAAGCTTCAGCTGCGACATTTATTAATATATATATATTTGTATTTTTACATACTGTCGCTGGTAAATAAATGCTTTAAAACATTTGTAGTATTAATGTAGGTTGACTTGTTGCAAATATCATTTGCTGCTTTTTGACATCCTATTGTGTTAATGGTAGTTGATTTAGTGTATTTCTTTTTTCGATCAAATTTAAAAAAATCAGATTCAGTTTCTCCAGATTGATATAAAATTTGCAGTTGATTTTCAATTTCGTTAAAAATTTCTTCTGCGTCCGGTCGTTTAGCTGGATTTGTGCCCCAACATTTTTTTAATAATTCAGAATACCAAATTGGCATGCTTTCATCAATTTCAGGTCGACCTTCAAAGAAAACAAAATGAGCAAGTTCATCAAGATTAGAATAATTTTTAAAAGGAGACTCTTCGTAATAAATTTCCCACATTAATATTCCAAAGCCATAAATGTCTGACTTTTTCGTTTTTGATCCTCCCACAAAAAGTTCCGGAGTCACGTAAGACATACGTCCATAGATAGTTGTGGAAGCTTTGTTAGCTGGGCCACAATGTTCAAGATCACCAATAAGCCATTCATTACTTCTCATACTTAGAAAAATATTGTCTGAATGTAAATCCCCATGAATATAATTTGATTTGTGAATGTTTTTAAGAGAAACTATCATGTCATATACAATCATGATCTTTTGTA